CAGACGACAAGCATCGATGCCCGCCAAGCACAACATGGGAAGAAACAAAGAGAGAGAGAGAGAGAGAGAGAGAGAGAGAGAGAGAGAGAGAGTGAGAGTGAGAGAGAGAGAGACATGAAAGAAAAATGAGACGCCATCAGCGAGTGTTGCTGTGCGCCACGGCGTAGCCGTGTGGTGGGGTCCACTTGTTTGAGGTAATGCACGATTGCTGAAGCTAGAAAGAAGTTATGGATGGGCAATGGTGAACATAATCAACAGCCAAATGCAACTACACACATCACGCCAACAATCTATCAACTTCTTCAATCGACCGACACGCATCTAGTCCCTTAAACACTGATCAATACATAGGGACACCAATGTCCTCCCACTTCCTTGATTCTCATTGTTCCTTCATCTGATTCTTTTCCCACAACCCATCCCTCCCTCACTCCTTATCCCTCACAAGTCTGTCTTACCTGCAGAATAGCAATACCGCTCGGCTGGGCTGTTGCAGCATGTCAACGTAGACCTTCACCTTCAGCATCTTCACTTAGCGATTGGAAAGCTGCTCGGCAAGAGATGACATAATGCTCGCGTGCCTTGCGCGTGAGATATCGTATCGTGATCTAGCACGTATCTGACCACCAAGGAAGAGTTTCACCACCTCATCGTTCTCGATATAGGTGGAGGAAAGTTGCAAGCAACTCGAGGCCACAGGGCAACCCCATCCCGTTTGTCCACGGGCTGCAAGCACGTCACGTGCCTCTGTTCAAATACCTGATACTCAGATTTCACAGCACAACAACAACGCTCTTTCTTCCATTGCTGCTGCTATCCTTGCCTATCTTCCCACTGTGCGCACTCACCACACTTGCGAGCGCTCGTGTCTTTCCCCTTTCCTCGCCTAATTCCCCCAATTATTAGACAACACAAAGAGCAGAATGTCAGTAACAACCACGTCATAAACAACCATTAACTTCATAAAAATGGACTGTCAGGTTGGAGATCGCAAAAGCAACAAGGAAAGCGGCCAGAGGATATATTTATAAAGTTATTCGTGCTTCCACATCACATACGAATACCACACTTACTTCCACACCTAGTGATGCGCATGTACACTAGGGCATTCTCCCAATCCACATTGAGCTACAGTTTATATAGAAGCAGGAAAGCGGAAGACGTAGATGATCCTCCCACAAACACACTAAGCGAGCGAGCAAGCAAGACACAAAGAGAGAGAGAGAGAGAGAGAGAGAGAGAGAGAGAGAGAGAGAGAGAGAGAGAGACTTCGGAAGAGCCGTACATTAGAAAGATGGCTCTTCCGCTCACACACATGGAGGGAGAACCATAGACAAAGGGGAGGAGGGCGAGACCAAGTCCGAGCCAGAACTCGGAAGGAGGAGGAACAGGTAGGCAGGCAGTACACAAGCCGGAAGGATCGGACATATCCAAAAATGGATCAGTCTCCTAATCAAAAGAAAAAAAAAAGGTATTTTTTATTTTAAAACATGAAAACAAATTAAAAACTTTGAAAAGGATGACTGTTCAATCCCACTGAGTACCGAAGGCAGTGCAGAAAGCAATCGTTAGCCTCCGGTGCTCGGAGTGCAGAAAAAAATAATTACAAAAAAAAAAAAAAAAAAAAACAACGCGTATAGAAGTAGGTTCAATCCCACTGACATCCAGGCCCTGTCCAGGACTGGCCCTACTGGTACCTGGCCTAAAACAGGCCCTGTACAAATGTATCCGACTCGAACGTCGGCCTGGGTGCGAACAGGTCCAAAGTCTGCTCGGACAGGCCAAAGTTCCCAAAACGTTTTAGAGGCTCCGCCTCTGGGTCTGAATCTGAAAATCATGGCGCCGGATAGTGCGGCATCGATCTGCCTTAACATCGGGAATAATTGTCGTACGGGCTTGAAGATCCTTATGTGCTTCATAATCCTTGGAATGATGGGACATGCCCATGGACAAGCGAACAACACCAGTGCCGACGGGGCAGCGTGGACCGAAGGAGCGACCTTAACGTTCTACGGTGATGCCAACGGTGGAGGCACGTTAGTTGGAGCGTGCGGGTATGGGAATCTATTGGCAACCCCTTGCAAGCTGATGATTGCAGCCGGAAATCCTCCAATGTTCGAAGAGGGGTTCGGATGCGGTAGGTGTTGGGAAATCCGTTGCGTGGGCAATCCTGGATGCACGGCCACGGTGACTATCACGATGACACATCTGTGCCCGTGTGGATCGGACACCGTGCATTTCGATATGAGCCAGCCGGCCTTCCATGCTCTGGCCAGTGGGCCGGCAGAAGCGGAGCAGCTCGTCACAGCGGGGAAATTGCAAGGTCAATATCGGAGGGTTCTGTGCGACCTCGGCCTTGGGAAAGCATTCACGGCAATTGTTCGTGAGGCGACAAACCCAAGTTTCTTATCGATTCTCATGCGGGATATTCCCGGTGCCGGGGACATCAAGACGGCGGAGTGCGCGCCAGGTGGCGGATCGACGTTCTCTCCGATGACTCAAGACTTCGGAGCTATGTACAACTTCAACGGCAAATGGACCAGCCCAGTTTCACTGGGGTTAACTCTAGGAGATGGACAAATTCTCACAGGTATCAGCTGCATTCCAGCTGCTTGGAAGCCAGCCACCACCTACACATGCAAGTAGAATTGAGTGAACAGCGAGACACTCATTAGGAGGAAAGGTCAGGCTTAGAGGAGGTGCCGCCAGATGTATTTGGAGTCCCACATATTACTAAGTCACAGTCGGAAAGTGATGCAGATTCGCAGTTGTCGAAACCAGCGATTACTCTGTCAATGTCAATTTGCAAAGTAAGTGTTGCAGACAACGACAACAAGAGGAGGAGAGGTTTATGAAGTTGTGCCAGACTCGCAGCCAGAGGCTCACGTGGTTCAGCATAGATCATCATTGGCAGGCTTTTTTGACAAAGAAGATTTTGCTGATGTTCGAGAGGAGCCAACAACAACAGGAGGAGAGATTTATGAAGTTGTGCCAGACTCGCAGCCAGAGGCTGGAAAGGTTTAGCAGAGATCATTGGCAATTTTTTTTGACAAAGAAGATTTTGCTGCTGTTCCAGAGGAGCCAACGACAACAAGAGGAGGAGAGGTTTATGAAGATGTGCCAGACTCGCAGCCAGAGGCTGGAAAGGTTCAGCAGAGATCATCATTCAATACAGGGTTTTTTGACAAAGAAGATTTTGCTGCTGTGCTGTGGAGCGACCACGAGCAGGGGAAACCTATGACAACCGCAGAAGGGGGGCGAGATGCCGGGTGCATGGAGAGCACCCCTGGCAGCAACACCTTTACAGAGACTGCAAATTTTGGTGTCTTCAGCGAGTAGGGGAAACCTATGAGAAGTGCAGACAAGGGGCGTCATTCCGGGTGGATGGAGCGTACTCCTGGGAGCAGCACCTTGACAGAGACTTCAGATTTTGGTGTCATCTCGAGCAATGCAAAGCCGTCGTGGCTTGATATCTCAACAAGTCCCTTACCTTGGCGACGCGCTACAACAGTGGCAGAAGTCGTGAAGACGTACTTCGGGAGGAGGTTGAGTTTGAGAAAAAATCGGGAAGAGAAGTCGGGTCCGTCCCGACTAGATTCATCACCATCTGATGCAGCAGTAGCAAATGTGCACGAAGAGACCGAATTATGTTATGCTGTCAAAGATGACCCATCACAATAACTGTCGTCTCCCATTTCGGGGAAGGGCGCGTTTGTCGTGCCGAATGCTATACCAACCACATGTCCAGGGACGCCAACAAAATCCATCAGGGTTAATAATAATTATTCCAGATTGCGGAAAATGGACATTGACGATGTGGAGGACAGCTATGCCTCTGAGCCGAACTGCACAACCCTCCCTACGAGCAGAAGAGGTGCCACGTGGAAGCCGTATACGAGCCCAATCTATGTATCGGACAACGACGATGACTCTGAGCCTCCTCGCTGGAGACGCGTCCTTGGGAGCAATGAAGGTGATGCAACATTAAATAGGGGACTGAAACATAATGAAAGCAGTGATGTCTGTTGCAGGGGCTTTGAGGAGAGAGGAGCTATGTGTAGAGACAGTGATGACCTCAGGAGGCCTCATTGGACATCCCTCGCTAGGAGCTGGAGACGATGATAACAGCATTCAGGTGGTCCCGGGGTCAGAGAGAAAAGAGACTGTGAGCAGGGCCTCTTGTTCCACGCACGGGAATGGGTTTTGGTCCGGTTGGCACGCAACCTGATGATGTGAATGGCAAGGGAGGGGAGGGAGATAGTGATGGGAGTGGTGACGTGCTTTCTCAGCTGAGCAGATTGCAGCTCCAGTTTGGAGAGAACCCACTCTCAAGTTGTGGTGATGGCCGAGAGGGTACCTCTTTCTCAGAGTACTACAATAATGTTGCTGCTGCAGTAGCAGACCAGGGCTGTGATTCTGCAGAGACACTGGGGTTCCCCGCCAGGATGGGCGAGCATGAAGAAGAAGATCACTGTGAGGTATTCGGTGAAAAAAGGGTTGTCCTAGTCTGGAGGATGGTGCAAGATCACGCAGATTCGGTAACAAAAGGGAGATATGATATCCCTTGTAGCAGGGTGGATGACAATAGCACAAGGTGTGATTTCAGTAATCCCAGTCTGGAGGATGGTGCAAGATCACGAGGCAGACAACCCTCTCTTTATCCTGGATCAAAAACGGTATCTGGAAAATCGACCACTTATGGGTGGAAGATAGACAGGGTTGGGTAACAGAACAAGAAATCAGCCCCCGTCTGAAAGGCTGCCATAGACGAGGGACTAATCTCCAATTCTTACTCAGCTGCATCCCACAGGAATGGAAGGATATTTTGTCAAAAAACGAGCCCTGGAGACCCGATGAGTGGGGACTAATGATTCAAGAAACAACACCCCTGCGAGCCTATCAATTCTCTCATTGGCAGCAGGGCTCACACACTAAGGCAACCTTCCTCTCTTTCCTGATCTCCTCCTCCAACACGGGTTCGCCGAATATCCTGAATTGTGAAGTTGAGTCGTCTGTCTGAGATTTTTTCCTACTTCGAAAAGTAAGGGTCCTAGGAGCATGGCCGAAATCAATATACATGCCTCATAGTACAATCCGCAACTTGACCAAAATCCCAATTCAAGACTACATAGTTAAATTGGTGTACAGACTGTCTCTAAAGACAAAAAATCCAGACTCCACTATCAAAAACAGATGGCGGAAGGGCTCGTTGGGCAGGAAGCAGACAAAATCACACGAATCCATTAGGATAAATTTAAATGAATTACGCCAATTAAGATCAAAAGTCTGCAGTGACTGATTGCTTACACAGCCCTTCCGGTGAACCAATGGCTGCATATCAGACGGAAGGCCACAAACCCCAACAGCTCAGAATTATGTACAATCTGCACGGAAGGTGTCGTAGAAGACTTAGTTCACTGCCTGATGCGCTGTAAAGAGGCTAAGGAATACAGGGGCAGAGTGTCTCCACTCTAGGACTCCCTCTTCACTTCTCCCTTCCCCGACCAGCCCATCCAACTTCTCCTCTTGATTACCATCCCTGTCCAGGCGCAAAAGGCAGAAAGGATCTGGTTTGAACTCATCAGGAAAGTGTCCCTATGGGTTATTTAGAAGGAGAGATGCAGCAGAACAATCGAAGGGAGATCCAACCCACGGGAGAAGGTGTGGATAGAAACCAGAACGCTCATACACGATGAGATCATCTGCAGATGTCGGAAGATAAAACAAGCATGGACTGATGACGAAGAAACAACGTAACAAAGAGAGGCAGAAATTCTACAGAGACTGCCTGATAAGAGGCAAGATTGCAGATCTGCGAGATGACCGAATACGTTGGAGGGAGTGACACAACTCTGTCTCAGAAAGAGCCTTTCACCAGCAGGCATCTCCTCAGGGCATACATGTAGCCTAGCCTTTTCAATCAGGAAAAGGCCATTTCCATATTCTTTCCACCTTTCCACCCCTTTTCTTCTTCTGTGTATCTTCCTCTCTCCTGTCTTTGTGAGAGATGGTGAACAGGTGCATATATTTTCAGGTCTCCTTTCATGCAGTTCAACCACATTAGGTTACTACACTTTCGGATTGTGTGTGGATCTATATATGGGGTTGTCTAAGACCGCCTTCAGGCAGTTCAGCCACTTCAGGTTGATCCATTGCAAATGGTGGGATGGGGGTACCTGAAACCCCTTTCAGAAGCTTCAGCCACTTCAGCGGTTTAAGGTCCCCACCTGAAATTCCTGAAATGACATGAAGTGGTTCAAGCTTCTGAAAGGGGTTTCAATTTCCCCCATCCAACTATTTGGATGGGGCTACCTGAAACCCCTTTCAGAAGCTTCAGCCACTTCATCAGTTTCAGGTCCTCACCTAAAATTCCTGAAATGACATGAAGTGGCTGAAGCTTCTGAAAGGGCTTTCAGGTACCCCATCCAAATGGTTGGATGGGGGTACCTAAAACCCCTTTCGGAAGCTTCAGCCACTTCAGCGGTTTCAGGTCCCCACCTGAAATTCCTCAAATCTCCTGAAGTGGCTGAAGCTTCTGAAAGGGCTTCCAGGTACCCCCATCCAACCATTTGGAAGGGGGTACCTGAAACCCCATTTAGAAACTTCAGCACTTCAGTGGTTTCAGGTCCCCACCTGAAATTCCTGATATGAAGTGGCTGGAAAAACAGGCAAAAAAAAAAAAAAAAAAAAAAAAAAAAACTTGTCTTGCACATTTACCGAAACTTCTGAAATGACCTGAAGTGTCTTCAGGCCATTTCAGCGGTTTCTGACCACTTTAAAATCTTTCATTCTCAAATTTCAGATGGTCGTTAAAGGCGAATGGTCTTTGTCCCCCTCGTTCTCTTGCTCGATTGTATGTTCGCACACACGCTACTCCTTCCTCACATCTACGTTTTCTCGTCTCCCCCATCTTCAACCTTGTTCCCAGCTTCTACTTCAACAATTTCTCTATTTACTTCTTCTTTCATGGGGCACCTGACCAACCTCTCGTCCACGTTCATGCGGCCTCTTGGTTACTTTGGCGGGTCCAACATCAGGCGTAGTGACGATCCTGAACGCCCGAGCAACCTTAATGAGCACATCAATCACGATCACAATTGGGACGACCGCCATAGGGAGACGGTTAGTACGTTCATGACGGATGCAGGTTAAAAGCGAAAAGACAGAGTCCAACTGAAATAGTGACGAATGCGAGCGGGCATGTCGCGCACGATGAGCATGAGGTACCGAACACTCATGATGGTAACATGAGGATAATACCCACGATGGCGAATGTTGTGGACTGCCTCGATCCTAATACTGGCGCGCGCGGTTATAACCACCCCTCACTTACTCATAAAATGGGCCAAAAGAGAATGGATCTTCCCCTTGATTTGGGAAGACTCATTGCTACTTGTTTCACTTGATGAAAAGGAAAAGAAAGCGCAGCCTCTAACGTTCATAACGCCAAATCTGCTGCTCAGATTCAAAATTTGGCGCGGCCATCTGATCAGGACTGCCTCAAACCTACGATTATCATCTTCTCTTGCTCATTTTCCCCGAGAAATTAGCAAGATACACCATCTTCCTTCTCCCTTCTTCTTCCTCCCTCAACATCTCCGCGCACCCCTTGTTCTCCACTAACTCCTACTCCACTAGTCTAACTCCAAAATTGCTCTCACTATCACGTTTGCCCTGTTGTAAAACCCCGCATTCGGCTCTTAGTTTGTCGAAATCCATTAGGATTTGAAGGCGCTATGTTCTTTCCGCATTGTCACCCCCTCTTCTTCCCCATCACCATCTTTGTCCTCTTTTTCGAATGCATCTGGCGCGAGCCAAGTCTAGGTGCACTCTCCCTGCTTCTACTTTCACCGCTCCTTTTCTTCTTCTGTGTGCCTTCCTCTG